GGGACAGGTGCCTGGGAAGTCTTTGTGAGTGGGAAACTATTTACAAAAGTAGTAGAGTTGGCATTCACTGTATTTCACTCTTCCTCAGTAAACACAATGCTGGTCACATCAACTATTTCTTTAAAAACTGGAGGTCTAAACATGGACCATCTTTCACAGCAAATGAATGGCAACCGCCCCAGGGAAGAGCTACATTCAGATGCCCTTGACTTCTAAAGCAGATTGTTGAGTCCGAGCAGGCAAGGACCTGTGGCACTAAGTCACTGCTCTAACACCTTGCAAATACTAAGTACTGAACATGTTGCATAAACAAACGACAAAATCACTGACAGCTGATATTAGCATTTTTAATGAGGAAAGTTTAACTTCTTGACTCCACTGTACTACAAATAGTTATCTCTCCAGTTGTAAAGTTCAAGACCTATGAATTAATGCAAATCCTTTATGTTACCATTAGCTGAAATCAGGACCATGGTCTACACTGAGCTCAAAGACAACATAAAGGCAACCCCGAGTAGTCTGCAACAGGTGGCCTGAGACAGGCTTCAGAAGAAATCCTTCACATCCACCTGACTACAGGTCTGTCTTGTTCCGTGGCCCCTTCGGAGACTGCACAAAAGCATGCAACAAATCCTAATTTAAAAAAGGAAAATTCTACTTCTAAGATGACCTGCAAAACTAATTCAGGCAATTTACTCAGGATTAAAACTACCTACACATAAAATATTAGAACTAAAAATCACGAGGATCACCATGGAAAAAGAGTCTTTAAACTTTCCCATCCACACAAAAAGTACCATTTATACCAACTAACTAGTTTGCTACTAGAGAGAGAAAAAGACTGACACTTAGAAAATCCATGTATCTCTCCCCAGAATCAAAAGTGAATTGGGACAACCCCCCCCCACACACACACACATTCCTAAGAATCATTCCATAGTTGGAACATTTATGTAGAGCAGTATCATACGGGTCTGGGATGTATTCAGGGCAAGAGACCGAATGTCAGGATTAGTAAAGAACATTTAGAAATTTCAAGCTTTAGGGAAAAGGGTGCACGTTTAACACACGAAGCCAGATCTCAAGGTCCCAAGGTACTTAATGTGGTCAGATACACAAGATACAAATCTATTATCCTGGGACCCTTAAGCCTCAAGCTACATGAGTGTCTTATTGAAGAGTCAGCTGTTTTGATTCTTAGTTTTCTACACTTAAGGTGGTTCTTTTAGAGTCAAGGTGAAACTGAGTTAAATTAGAGATCTTTCTAGATCTCTCCTTTAGACGTCAGAGAAGCAGGGCTATCCCATAAATCCGACTTAGGACACTCAAAGTAAAATCGTTACTTAAGAAGCAATAATACGTCGACTTTGGTCCAAAAAGGGTGTATTTTTTTTTCAGTGTTTATTAAGTATCCCGCATCTACTTTCTACACATGATAGTAAGGAGCAGCTCCTTCCTTCCACCTTAAGGCTTTTCAAACAGCCTCAAATCTGAAGGACCAAGTAACAGTAAGTTAACACACAGCTCTTAACTATAAGCTGAGCACTGTTCTAAGTCCGCGTACAGCACGGACATCAGATTTCACAATCAGCCCATAAGAAACGCTCCAGCTTATTTATTTCTCCTCTTACAGACGAGGAAACGGAGAAACTAAGAATTAAGTAGTCTGAAGTCTCACAACAAGTTTGAGAGCTGAGTTATGTATTACACATTATGTGGATTACAACAGCTGCACGCAGCATCAAGTAGAAGCAAGAACGGCTGTTCATTCGATAAAAATTCAGCATTTTACACACACACACACCCCAAGATCAAAGCCATGATCCACTTCGCAACACTGGAACATCGCTTTCCACCTCCCTTCTCCCAGCTACCACACGCCCCACAACTCCTCTCCACATTTTCAGGTTCCTCTGATGCAGCCCAAGGAAGGAAGAAGTTAATTAACCTTGACAAATAAGCAAACTCGCCTTCTCTGCCCTGGAAAGTGGAGAGCAAAAAAACCTAACTGGCCTCTCCAGGAAGCAGAAGAGCCGCGACGGGAAGGTCGGGCCTCGGGGTTACCTTGTACCGAAGCGCCTGGTGAATATCCGCAGCCAGCTGTCCTCGCCACCACTGCCCCTCCAGCTCCATGGAACCCGGCGACGCGCCCGGCCAGACGCCTCAACTTCAGTCTGGAAGACACGCCCCAGACGCGGTCACCGCCAGCCACTTCCCCTCCACGACCCTCCGCGCCCCCCGCCACCAGGGCTGTGACCTCGGGTCACCCCGCTCGGCTGCTCATCTTCACCTGACCCGACCCCAAGCCATCCTCCAGCGCCAGCAAGGCCCGATCTACCCAGTCGGAGAGGCGCGGGCTTTTAAGTCTGCAATCGCCAGCGGGAGGAGCTGCGGGAAGGTGCAAGCTTGGGAACCTCGGGGTGGGACGGCCGGGCTTCGGCTCGTCGAGTCCCGGGTTCGAACTCTGCGGCCCGCGCCGGGAGCCCTGACACCGTCCGGACGCCGCCGGAAAGGAGGGTGAGCAGCGCTAGGCC